CTCTCTCTCTCTCTCTCTCTCTCTCTCTTCTCTCTCTCTCTCTCTCTCTCTCTCTCTCTCTCTCTCTCTCTCTCTTGCCCACTCGCCTGTTCTCTCTCTCTCTTGCCCACTCGCCTATTCTCGCTCTCTCTCTCTCTCTTTTTCTTTCTCTTTCTCTCTCGCCCCCCTCTCTTCCTCTCTCTCTCTGAAATAAAAAAAATGTTAGCTGAAATGATGTGTACGCAACTGCGTAACTGCATATCTGCCCCTAACAAAGGTGTCACTACGCACGACTGAAATGTTACGTTTATAACCGTAGCAACAGACCTCAGATGAGTCCAGTCACTCTGCGGCTCTTGTTGCTGAATTACCTTGAGGCTAGTTGGTCAAAACAATACTAAGGATTTTAAGTTTAAGTTTAAGTATCAGTCGCGATTCCAAGACTATTCCGTGTAAACAACTTGTATGACTTATTACGATGCTAAACTTTCGTTCCTGTATTTAAGTCTTGACAATCATGCAGTGCCACTAAATGGCCTCTTTGTGCTGCTCTGTGAAATGATGCTGTGTGAAGCCCTTCTTCCTATATGAGATGCAGTCCCGTTTTTAATTTTTCAGCTACAACTAGTAGACTGGCGAAATCTTCTGTATCTTTACTCTTTAGCTGTCAACAAACGTTGTACAAATTTGAATGGCTTCACCTACTGCATTTACATTTTGCATGTATTGGGGCATCTGAGTAGCAGCATCATTACTAGTAAGCAGTGGCAACAGTTGCAGCATTAGCAGCAGAAGCAGGAGCAGCAGCAGCATTACCAACAGTAGCATGCAGTAGCAGTGGCAGCAGCAGCAGCAGCAGCCACAGAAGTAGTGGTAACAGGGGTAACACAAACGTCGTAGCACAATCACTTTTTTCATGATTCTTCACATTTACTTAAGTTTGAGTTTATTTAACTAACTGTGTTTTTCATACTTATGCAGGCTCCCCAAAGTTTACTCCAGTGAAAAAGACAGGTAGTCATAGAAGAGAAAGGGCTGCAGCACCGAGCTTTCAAATAAGGAAGACAAGCGTCCCAATCACTCCCGAGAAACTGAACAAGCTACATCCCATAGTGAAGGAAGGCTACTTGCAGCGGAAGCATGTGTATCATTCAAGAAGAAAGAAGGCAACTATACGGTAAATACATCTTTATTGTGAATAAATGGTGTAGTAGTTCGATTTTTAGCTCACCGATGAGCTATTGCCATGGGGCGTCGTCCGTCCGTCTGTCCGTCCGTCCGTCAACATTTGCCTATGGTCAACGATAACTCAAGAACCGTTTGACCCACATGTTTCAAATTGCATACAGCTGTTACTCCTATGGGAAAGATTTGAACGTCCTATTTTGGAGCACGCCAGTCGACCTACTTTCGAGCCACGCCCACTTTTTGGCAAAAATGGAAATGGCCATCTAGATTCATTCGATTTTGTTAAATTTACCTACCTACACCTGCGTACCTACCTACCTACCTACCTACCTACCTACCTACCTAATCATACCTACGTGTAATATTGTTTTAGATTTTTCGTTACAGTAATTTGACTGGAATATTTTATTACTTTTATTTGCGCGATAATCGAAAATCAAAATGGCGATCATTTAGGTGTAGCGCCTATTCTCGCCCAGATTTCAGACTTTCAAATCTGAAACATTTATGTTCGCATCAAAACTAACCCTGAAACAAACCAGTAAAATTTCTATTAGTATAAAACAGGGAATAAGGTCATTTGATCACATTTCGGTCCGTCATAAATGAAACGCTTACCAAATTTTAAATATCATCTCCCTCTTCTATCACACCCAAGTTGAGCTCTAGTGTTATTGACACTCATTTTTTAAGTATACATTCTGCAATTTTGTAATAGAATTGTATTATTCTCACTAATTTCTAGCAAAATCTCGAAAGATCATCCCCATATTGCTGAAGTTGTTTTTGTTTCAGTTCATGGAAGCATTACTATGTGGTCTTGTCTGGAGATCTGTTGGCATTCCTGAAAACTAAAGGACAATATGAAGCTATGCAGACCCACTCAACATTTCCACTCCTCATACATAAGTATGACGCCTGTCTCCTAAGATGCTGTGTTAAATAACAATCTCGATTTTGTAATTTTTATTAGAAAGTGGTATATATTATTTGATTGTCACTAAACAAATACCACGAGTATTAACAATGAGGAAAAAAATAATAAATGAGGTTCAAAATAGTTATTTTTTACAACCTACATTTATCCATAAGAAGTGTAGGAGCAACAACAGGCAGTAGCTCATGCAATACTGTCTTTCTTTTTCATGGAAGGTCTAGGGTAACTGTTGCGACTGACTACACAAAACACAAGCACGTCTTTCGCTTGCTGTTGGCTGACAATGCAGAGTACTTGTTTCAAGCACCAGATGAGAATGAAATGAGAGATTGGATAGATAAGATACAGATGCAGTCAGGTATGTGTTAAGCAGTAATTTCACTCCTGATGTAATGAACCGGATGCATATTATTCTAGTGTGCTGCCGTATGCATCGGCAATATACGATGTTTCAGAGTGAGGAGAGATGAATGTACACACAGGCACGCACACACGCACACATACATGCACACAAAGAACGCGAGGGAGAGAGGTGAAAGTAAGAGAGGGAGGAAAACATATAGCAGGTGGGAAGAGAGCAGGAGAGAGAGGGACAGGGAGGCAGGGAGAGAGAGAGAGAGAGAGAGCAATGTATGTATGTATGTATGTATGTATGTATGTATGTATGTATGTATGTTATGTATGTATGTATGTATAACAGGTATATATATATAATATATATATACTATATATCATATGATATGATAAAAACAAAGTCAAGGTAGACCTATAGAATAAGGGTGTTTAAAGTTTAATTGACGAGCTTTCGAGATTACATCTCTTCATCAGGTCAGCAGACATTGGAATAGAATCAAATAATCAAAAACAAATACAATGCGTTATAGATAATCAAAAATGAATGATTCACACAATTCGCGTCCACAATGTCACAACCCACATGTTTCAAATTGCATATAGTTGTTACTCCTATGGGAGAGGTTTGAACGTCCTATTTTGGAGCACGCCAGTTGACCTACTTTCGAGCCACGTCCACTTTTTTGCAAAAATGGAAATGGCCATAAGTCAGGGCAGGTTCAACGGATTTTGCTCATTTCTGGTATGTGAATGAATGAGGACAGGCCCCAAAACATATCACACGCGTTTTTATTTATTTTTCTAATTATGCAAATTAGGTAGATTTTGGCAATTTCATTATGCATTTCAGTGTCTGCCTACGGTAAACGCCATCAGATTGTATGCCAACAGATCTGAAACATTTATTTTCGCATTAAAAATTACGCATATATCATCATTATCAAGAGTATATAATGGAAGATATGCTATATAATGGGAGTTCTCCCATATATACTCTTGCTTTATATACACACCTCCCTCTTCTATCACACCCAAGGTGAGCTACAGTGTCGTTGACACTTTCATTGTATGTAGCACTAGAGGGAAAGAGGCAGCTGTGTATGCTGACCAGACCATTTATGGTTTTCCCCAGCCGTATGTTGCCTGCAAGCAAAAGCTCGCACACAGCCGCGCAGCTGCCGTTCAGCCTCGAATATACCTGTGAGCATGTGGGGCTATTGTTGCAGAAAAAATCAACTCTATCCAACATTGTGTCTCTTAAATCCATGTCCAGCTGCATATCCCAAACAAAACACTGCTGTTAGTGGACGTTATCCTAATTCTGTGCTATGTCTTGCTGCAGTGCTAATGCCAGAGGCAACTGGCACCTTGCTGGAGACTTTAACAGCAGCAGATGAATATAAGGAGCTGGGCAGTGGATTGGGTACAGAAAGCCTGCAGGCATCTCCACGACCCATGGGAGGAGCACAGCAACAGAGAAAAGCATCTGATGAGACGGCAAAGAATTCTGACAGTGGCCCAGGGAGAGCGGTGCTGGTGGTTGAGGAGGGACCGCAGCGTGGGGGAGTGACGGTGCTCACACCGGATGCTGTCGCTGATGGCAGCAAGATGCAGGATGCACAATTCACGACATCGCTGATGGCCTCCACAGGGGAAGTCGTGCCGCCCCCGCGCGCAATTGGTAGAAAACAAATGCCCCTGCCACCGCCACCACAGGCGTGTGAGCACGTCGCATCGGAAATGGATAATTCACGTTTAGAATCCCCTGTGCTAATGCCTTGCGGGGAAGAGTCCGCACCGTCTGCAGTTGAAAGCTGTAAGCTTGATGCTGTTCTTGACATCCAAGATGCTGTACTCAGTATCACTCCAGAAGATGCACCTGCACATGAAGAAATGGTTGCACCCAGCCTGCTGCCTCATCAACACGGACTAAAACGCAAGTCAGAGGAAATCAGTGATGAGGATCATCTTCACGAAGTAAATAACATTATTTCAGTTATTCATTCATTATGTCATCAGTCAACGAAATGGTTTGTATTTAATTAAAAAAGCAATTAATAGACAGTTATAAATGTAATGCTGTCTTTATAAATGTGAGTCGCGACAGAGCAATAAATGAATAGATCAAACAACAAACAGGAGATGACAAGGGATTTGACAGTTAGATGTAATTAATGTGAGACTTTATCAACAACTGTAATGTGTAATAGATCTGTTATGTTGCACTTTTCATTAGCAGTTAATTGAAATAGACGAGAATCAAGTGGAATTTGCTGCCGACGTTTTTCATTCGGATACGGAGACTGATACCACAGCTCACATAACCATGGAGAAGCGACCAAAGGTTGTCCAGTTTTTGCATTTCCTTGATCCATGCATGCTGATAGCATTACTGCACAGCATTGAAATAGACGTGACCTCGGGGTCAACCACTTCCTCTGTTACTGTGAGACGCCCTAATTTGACATCAGCAAGTACTTGTGTGACTTTTCCCCTGAAAATTCTGCTGTACAAAACCTAAATTTAGAACACATTGAAAGCACGTGCTCATGCAGTGCTATAAAATTATGTTTATTGGTGCATACGACAGGTTATATAATAATTTATGTCATTGCGACTGTTATTTTCGCACATGTCGTGCTTTAGGCCCCCGTATGCTAAGTGTATCCTTAATTTTGAGGCTTGGGAGAAATTACACGTTAATTTACGTTGCACCCTTACATGCTAATACTGTTTTATGGTCGTCATCCACGTCGTGTCATCATCATCAATCGGTATGATTGTTCTAGTTGTTATGAAGGTCTGTTCTTTTGACAGATGGATGTAAACGTGAGCATTTCACCAATCGATAGCCTAGCTTTTGAGCCAGCAATAACAGTTAAAGAGCCACCATTGTCACATGAGCCACCCACCACTGTCTCAGTTCGTCCAAAACAACGTCTCCAAGAAATGATGCCATCAAGCAACTTCAATCAAGACCATGTTCCCAAAGTTCACCAGAAAGACACGCTAGCACCAGAATCAGCAAGGGTTCTGCCTAAGGAACCAAAACCTGGCATATCTATTCACGTAGTGAGTGCTAGTGGTGATGTTACACTGGATGGAAAGATACGTCCATACTCGGACCCTAACGTCGCCTTGGCCTCGGAAAAGCAGCCATCATTGTGGATGGGACCACCAGTTAGTGGCAGACCAGTAGGCAAGCCAATCAAAAGTTAGTTCCTGTCATATGCTGGAATTTTTTGTTTTAATTGATCATTTTATCACGTCTTCTAGCATGTACTACCTAGCTAATGCTTTTTAAACAGAAATTGGGGGAAAATTAGTTAGCAGTAATACTCTAATGATATCATTCTATTAAGCCTCACAGACTCATCACACATAACATACTACATTGTGTTTTAATGAGAAATTTTATTGCACTGCTTGATTGCCAATTGAAGCCATTATCTCAGATAAATTTGAACTGCATATTTGTTTTTAAACTGACAATAAGAAAACCTATCAATTTAGGTTATGTTTTTATATTTTCAGGTATGCCTCCAATACCACAACGTAGTGTAAAACCTCAGAGCGAATTCAGACCCCTGTTTGCAGAATCTTTGGTGAGTAGCCATCGGTGTGGCACCGATATTGCTTTAAATTAAACACAATGGTTGCATATTGATTGATTTGTCACTATGGCATGGCTCCCAGAGCTCCTATAATTCCTATATTTCCTATATTTTTATAGGAGTTGCCTATATTTTGGAGAAAAATTCCTATAAATCCTTTATTTGACTGGTTGCCAAACCATGTGACTGGATTATCTGAATGATCAACAGTAAATTTTGGATTTTCTGTATCTGGAATTTAAATGTTCTATAACAATATTTGCAATACCTTATCTCTGGTGCAACTGGGCCCTTTTTCCCCGAAATGCTGATACAAGATTTGAAAGAGGCTCCAAATACGCCATACACCCTTCAGTATGATGAGACAACAAATGCACAGGGACAAAAACAGCTAGATAGCGCTATCCGTTACTGGCCACCAACTTATGGAAAATTGTAATCCACCATTTGAAAAGCTACCTAATGGGACATGCTACCGGAAAGCAGCTAGCAGCGAAACTCCTCTTGGCAGTAAGTGACAGCCATCTTTTCCTTCGTCAGCTACTAATGCTCGAATCAGATGGACCCAACATTAACAAAACTGTACGGAACATTGTTAATGAAGCAGTACTTCAGCTGGGAAGGCGTGGCTTGTTGGATTTAGGAACATGTAACCTCCACATATGCCACAACGCTTACGCTAATGGAGTACAAGCTTTTCCCAACAATGTACCAGAGTTGGTTTTAGACCTCCAGTATTGATTCAAGATGTCTGCGTCGAGGCAATAAGATTCGGCCAAAATTCAAGAGGCACTTGGTCTGCCAAATCATAAGCTGCTGAAGCACGTGGAATGTCGATGGCTTACTTTACAACCAGCAGTGGAGCGCGTCATTGAGCAATGGGATGCTTTGATCAAGTATTTTCTGCATGAAGTCCAAAAGCGCGCACCAGCATCGTCAAGCACTGCATGTTACATTAGAATACATATGCAGCTTTCACGGAAAGAAACCCTTGTCGAGCTGCATTTTGTTGCATCGGTGGCAGGCCTGTTTAATTCCTTTCTCAGATACTGCCAGAAGGAAGAACTATTGGTTCACGTTCTCTGTGATGAGCTGTCGACACTGGTTGCAAAAACTCATGGGGAGATTTGTCAAGACGGAACTAATAGCAGGCAAGAGCATCAGGAGACTGGTGCAGGTGGACTTCATGGCCACTTCCAACCAATTAGGCGACAAGGATCTAGACATTGGGGACAAAACACATCTGACAATGAAGACTGACTGGCAGGGAGAAACCGGTTCTCCTGTGAGCTAGATCATTCTTCACCTCTGCCACAGAACATTTGGCTAAGAGACTGCCCATGTCGAACCACATTTTGGAGAAAAGCAGGGTGCTGCAACCAAGGCGACAGCAGGAACACTGGACTGTGGAAGCAATTAAATATTTGGGAAGATGCCTTGCTTTCATGGACATGGACGTGGATGAAGTTGGTGATCAGTGGAGACTATACCAACAGGAAACTGTGCGCCAGGAATTGGTATATGACACCACAGTCGACGGGGAGGTGAGAGAGAAACAAATTGACACCTACTGGAACAACATCAGTAAGATCTCGCATTCCAACGGACAAAAGACATTCCCTGCATTACAACGAGTGGTCAAAGCTGTGCTGACTTTGGCCCAAGGCAACGCAGACGTAGAAAGAGGTTTCTCACAGAGAGGGGAAAATGTGGAAACCGCTGACAGAGTGGCTTTGAGTGAAGTCCGTTGAAGTTGGTGATCAGTGGAGACTATACCAACAGGAAACTGTGCGCCAGGAATTGGTATATGACACCACAGTCGACGGGGAGGTGAGAGAGAAACAAATTGACACCTACTGGAACAACATCAGTAAGATCTCGCATTCCAACGGACAAAAGATATTCCCTGCATTACAACGAGTGGTCAAAGCTGTGCCGAATTTGGCCCAAAGCAACGCAGACGTAGAAAGAGGTTTCTCACAGAGAGGGGAAAATGTGGAAACCGCTGACAGAGTGGCTTTGAGTGAAGCATCCATCAACGCTCTCCGCTGTACAGCAGATGGGCTGAAGCTCTTCGGCAACAAGCCCCACACAGTGACACACGAAAAAGTTCTTAGCCAAGGGACCATCTGCTCACATGCATTATGTGAATCGGATTGAAGAAGAACGACAGAAGAAGGAAGATGATCGGCGTAAACGAAAACTTGAGGATGAGAGGAAAGAAAAGGACAAAAGAGACAGAAGAACAAAACAAATGAGCAACGACTTGAAAGACAGGCATGGCGAACTAGCCAAAGAAGAAACTACACAGCAGGAGAAGTTAGATGTCGAACACACTTCTCGTGGACGCCAACGATAAACTTAAGAAAGCCATTGCATCGAATAACTTGAAGGAAGTGGCGCAGACCATGATTGAGGCTGCAAAGCAAAAGATTTGCCAAGCTACAAAAACAATGGAGAAGACCCGGGAGAAACAGAAAACTGTAGAGAAAAGAAAACAGATTCTAATAGATTCATATGTGAAAAAAAATAAATAGCTGTGGCCTAGTTTAGATGTGAACTCGTTGCTGACTATGGACCATCATAGCAGGGGAAACCAGTTTTCCTGTTACCAAGTATATACCTGTATAAAAGTTGAACATAAATCGGCCAACACTCCTATTAAATATGCCAAAATGCCCCGTATGAGTTGCCCTATAAACTCTTATATTTGAGAATAAACAGTCCTATATTTACTATATTTGAATGATCAAAATGTACTGGGAGGCATGCAGTATGGTTATCTAATCATCAGGTTCTACTATATGTAACTAGGATTACAAGCTTGTTTAAACTACACATGACCTTGAATTGCATTAGGCTTTATTGCTGGTAAGCAGTTTTAGATCACGAATGGCTCTACATGCCATGTTAAGGACCATGACACGATTCTGTAGACAATGCAGATCATGACCATTCTGCAGCATGACAATAATATATGCTATCGTCTCAATACTACAGCCTTGTGCCACAAAGAGCAACTTAAGTATAACTCAGTAAATAATGTGCATTTCATTAGAGGCATTTTAACCTGAAATGTATGTTTGTTTGTAGAGTCAACCCAGTGGCAGTGGAGAACAGGCACACACAATGCCACCCTCAAGTAAGATCACTATGTCACCAGGTGACAGAGCAAAAACGCAATCACTTGGTGCATCAGGTGGCACAGGCGAAACCGATGAGAAGAAGAATAAGGGAAGTGTGCTTGCTTTTTTCCGTAATAAGAATGACACCCATAGGTCTGACAAGGAAAAGAAGAAACAGAGTAAGCAGCAGCATAAGAAAGAGAAACACAAGAAAGACAAAGGGTATTGAGAAAGTGATAGCCCTGCAGCATAATGTTGAAGGTTTTGCGATGATCAACTACAATAAAGAATAAAATAATGTCCATGATCGGACCCAAACTGCATGCAGTGCCCGTTCGTACACTCAGGATACCACTGCCACAATGCCAGCACTATTTTTAAAGTGGGCGGAGCTCCGGGGAAATCCAGCAAATGGAGATTCGTAAACAGTGTGAGTGTATGATTTGAAAGAGGTAACTGGGCGCACAATCCGCGTACTATTTCGTATCACTATTTTATCAAAATTTTCATGAAATAACGGTCGGATTTTTAATATCTTTGCAACTTTTATTAGTCCAAATCTTATTACATAGGATACGAGTAACGTGGCTGCTGTAAAACTTGTAGTAAAAAAGCATTACAAATTGTAACGGAAATCTACTTGTGGCAGTGGTGAATTGAGCGAGAGCGAGAGCGCCATCTGTCGTGGAGTTTGGATCGGACCATGGGTAGCATTTTATTTTCCCTTCATTTCAGTGCCAAATATTTCAGACACTAGACTGTGTAATTATTCTTACTTAACATTTAGTGATTTGGCAATTGAACATTTTACAAGTGTAATATGAAAGGGAGTATAGGGAGAATTAATGATAAATAACTTTTAATTTTTGATGGAAAAATCTTTGTTTTTAGCTCATCTGACGAAGTCAGATGCAGCTTGTAGAATTGCATGAGCGTCCGTCCGTGTGTCCGTCAACAGTTGGGCACAAATCTTAACCGCTTGACGTACGGTCACGATATTTGGGACGTCGGGGGGTGGGGGATCGTGAAAAGGACTCAGGATGACCAATTTGGGGGGTCAAGGGTCAAAGGTCAAGATGTGTCAACGGAGGGGGAATATTTCCCCTTTTACTTAAGGTATAGGAGGAAATACGGAATTGCGGCACAAATCTGAACAGCTCGACCTATGCTCTTAATATTCTGTGTCTAGTGTCATGGGCAGGAAACCCATCACCAGTGCGAAATTGAAGGTCACAGGTCAAAGGGCAGTGAGGGAAAAGTCAGATATCAGACATTTTCTGAGGACATGGCCTAATGGACAGAGTGAAAAACTTTTTTGTTTCAGCGCTGACCTACCATTTTTATCACTTTATTGAAAGGACCATGAGATGTGCTTTCCACTGACGTGCGAAGAGTAAGTGTCTGATAACCTTTTGACCCTCAAGAGGAGGGTTAAACATGGATTTGTTGACTATTAACAAAGGACTGAACTGTGTTTGATGGTACTTGTGTGATCGTGGAAGACTTAAATTTCACAGTGAAATTATTCTGCATGCAAAACTTACTTGAACAACGTTTACGCGCCTTAAATCATATATGAACTTCATTCTCGATCTATATGAGATTCTGTACGTTGAGAATACAATGTCAATAGCACTTACGCAACGTCTGTTTTTGATTAAGGCCAACTCTAAATAGGCCTACCTCGCAGGTGGGTGGCTGATAGTATCACAGCATGGGCTAAACGAAGGTAGCAACTAGTTTGGATTATTTATTCCCTGCACCTAGTCAGTATGCAGGCCATCTATCGGAACAGAGTGAGAAGAATGTCCCGGCAGGAAGGATAGGTCAAATGTATATTGCACTCAAAAGTGCAGAAAGAATTACTTTCTTAACTTCAGTTTAACCAATCTTGAGATAAGTAATTGTGCTCAAAAGTGCAGAAAGAATTAGTTTCTTAACTTTAGTTTAACCAATCTTGAGATAAGTAATTGCAGAAATGAATCGTCAAACCTACCAATGAAAATTTGCCAGTTTTGTACTGTCCTTGGCATGGCTCTCTCCGTCGACGTTACAGTAGTGTGCAATGTCGGGATATGGTGGAGCTGGCTTGCGGAAACTGTACGCGGGCTATAGTACTAGAGCTATGGTGGAGCATGCTAGCTTGTGGACGCTGCAGAGCCCGATGGTTGACTGTCAGTCGAAATGTGTTGATCCTCCCCGACATTGAAGAAATCTGTACGTTATACGTGTGTCTGCCTTACCTCTGCCCGCCATCTTCGTCGAAAGTTTGGACGCCGCGCGGCGAAATTGGAATGTACATTTCAATTGATGACGTAACTGATACAGTAGCGCGCCGCGTGGGTGTTATTTGTTTAAAAACAATTTAGTCTGACTGACTCTCTCCCTCTCTCTCCTCTCTCTTCTCTCTCTCTGCTCGCCCGCTCTCTCTCTCTTGTTTTCTCTCTCTCTCACCCCCTCTCTCTTCCCCTCTCTCGCTCTCTCTCTGCAATAAAAAAAATGTTTGCTGAAATGATGTGTACGCAACTGCGTATCTGCATATCTGCGCCTAACAAAGGTGTCACTGCGCACGACTGAAATGTTGCGTTTATAACCGTATCAACAGACCTCAGATGAGCCCAGTCGCTCTGCGGCTCTTGTTCACAGTAATAGTGCATGAGGACAGATCGATATGATTCTATCAATCATACATTTAAATATTATGTTGATGTTATAATGTTTAATTATTGATATGTAAATCAGAAACGATCAGACAATTCAGCTGAAGCAGCGTGCAAAACGTGGATTTAAATGCGAATAGTTTAAACGTTTGCCACTCATTAAACGTTATTCACCTCATAATGTGTGTTTGTAAAGGTTACCTGTATTATGAGCTTCATTGCATACATTTTTAGCGTGCAGTATTCTGCACTGACAGTCTCTCAGGTGCTCCGACATATATGTATTATCTTTAATATGCCTCCATCAACAGTGGTACTGGAATTATAGTATATACAAGCATGCTACATGTTTTCTGTTATTTTAACATTTGGAATGAATCAGCCAATAATTTATTGTGATTTAATTGTGTGTGTGTGATTGTAAAACTAATTGATTGCCTTGGGTTGAGACCTAGAAATGACTTAATTACTCACCTATTTCTTCTGATAATATCAGCAAACATGTTTTACATGATAAATAATATCAGCCATCATGCATTATAATTAACAGTGTCTATCTTATTAATTGTTGTGGAATTAATAAAAATTTATAATAACCTGAACTTATTTATTTCATTTGTATTTTATTATAATTTATACACGTTAATTGATCTGTTATTCTCGAAATCATGTTGTTGACAGAGGCAAGTCCAGAGCAGGCCGGGGTTTAGATCATATATATAAAGTAAGAAAGCGAACACCCATGTAGAAAATTAATATCGAAAAATAGAATAAGGTGTAAAATTTTAATTAGAGAGCTTTTGAGAGTATGTCTCTTCATCAGGCTAAATAACAACAACCAACATATTGTAGGCGTAATGCGCACTACACATGTAGAAGTTGTAAAGGACTGCAGGAAAACTAAAGATACGAGAAAGACAAGAAGTAACACGAAACGAATGGTTTACTCAAGATCAGAATAAGTAAGAATAACAAGTTTCTCTCAGTGCACTCTACTAGAACAAATTTAACTCTACGTACTTCTTTATTAATTAATTATTTTATAGTTATAAATTGTAAATATAATAAAAAAAATTGCCATTATAATTCAGTTTAAATAAAATAAAACTAAAACTACACAATTAAAATAACGTAAAATGTCAATAAAGCCCACGATAAAGGGATAGTGTTGCTGCTTGTGAGAACGTATAACATCAGAGCAAGACTCAGGGTTTTTATTCTCATGGCTTGCTTCGCTTCGTTAAAACTGTATAAAACAAAGTATAATACGAATGCATAATAAATCAAGATATTAAAATCATCATGACATATTCATCATTCTCAATTCACCTTATAACGTACTAGTGTAACTTCAATTCCTAAAATAGAGAAAGTAATATACGGTCAAGTGTACTTAAATAAAAGATAGAGTACATAAGTAACTTTATAATGCACATACACATGTACATAGCATTACAATGTACATACAGTATCAACACCATGACATCACCCGTAACTAGGCTAAGAAAACACATACGTTTTGCGTAGGTAGTACATAAATCTCATAAATGTCACGTTATACTTAAGTACTTACCTCCGTGCCTTCTTGATGTCGCTTAAATTCACACAAGAAAACGTGATGCTCCCAATAACGTCAGGTTTTCATCACTAACAACAAAACCTACATCCTTCTTTGTCTTAAGTTCAGCCTGCCTAAATGGCGTTATAAAGTTCCATCTTTATACGTAATTACACTCTTAGTTTCCTTTACGCAATGATTAAGCACTTCACCAATAACCGTGTTGCAATCACACTATAGGTATAACCTGATAAACGGGAGTTTTCCACTAAATTCTATGCACAACAAAGAAACAGACATCGCAGAACGCCATAAACCTTTTGAAACAAGTGATTCACTCAATCGATCAACCTTTCCCTATTCGACAACAAACTTAACAGATAGCGTGAGAGTAATAGGAGAGGAAGTAAAGAGGAAAGTAAGAGGGCGGAAAGAGTGTCCTAGCGAGGCAGAAAAATGAGATAAACGACAGGCCTGGGCCTGTCGTCCTCGTCTTCACCACTCACATTGGAGTGGGAATAGGGTGGTGGGGCGGGGGCGGTTATCGGCTTCCCCTCGTCTCGCCGAGTAGGGAGGAGGTTGTGAGGATCCCGTCTCCTCCCGTGTCAGTGACCGGTCCTGGAGGTGGTGTACAACAGTAGAAGGCGTCCATAGGCAGCAGGCCTGAATAAGCATCGAACAGAAATTAATTAAAAATACTCACATTGTTACATCGCATACACAACATACACTTTATTCTTGTTAAATAACTACAGATTCATGCTCTATGTACCGCTCAAAACATTTGCCATCTCTATGATGTGAATTTCTACAAAGTAGTCGGATCACGTTTCAAACACAAAAATGGTCAACCGGTCACCATGGCTACGCCACCTGACGGAATGTCACAACTACACGACAAGACCCATTTTACTTCTAATGCTTTCTAGACTATAACTATAACTTGCGTGCATAATGCAAATTATTGCACTCTAGTGCCGAATTTTACCGGAAAATGCCCCAAAATGCCATTTCTAGAGATGAAATAGTGCAACGTTAAATAATTTGCGGAGGCTTCCTGCTGTATGGCTCCTGGACCTCCTCCCGCACGTTGCCAGTTCGGGACGGCTTTTGATGCTCTCCATGCTAGTGTGGTTGTGGCGGGTAGTCAGGTTGCAGGTGTATTTCA